GCAGGGAGCTCAGGGTCCTGGCCTGGAAGTCGGGGTTCCAGCTCCAGGACCGCCACTCACTTCTGGTCCTTTTTCTCCCATAAAATCCCGTGAAAGATTTCCTGGAATCACTTCCCACTTCTGTCCATCGCATTGGCCACCTCTGGTCGCAAGGGGGGCAACCAAGTGTGGACTTTTAGCTGGGGTCCCCCTCCCCCCAACAAACCAGGGCTCCTTGTCTAAGGATGGGGTCCATGGTCAGAGTCCGTTACAGCTGCCAACTGGGGAGTCTTGGGGCACCGCCTCGGGAGCTGTTTTACACCCGTTTCCACGGAACAGACATTTGTTTTGTCTTTACTGCGTTAGGCAGTGTTTTAACGGCTTTATCTTATTTAGTGCCCACAGTAGTCCTACGGGTTTTTTGAAGGGGGTAACATTTATGAGCCCATTGTACAGGTGAGACAATGAAGGCCTGGGAAGAGATGTGACCAGTGTATACTGATGGGGAAGCAAGTCACAGCACTGCCAAGGGGGTTTCTGAGCTTGGCAACAGCCAGGAGCTCCACACAGCCCGGGACCCACACCCCCAGCGAGTCCGGTCCAGCCGTTAACTCAGGCACCCACCTATAGAAGGTCCGGGCACACAGGCTTTCTGGACCCTGGTTTTCTCATCAGGAGAACGAAGGTGTTCTGTGGCTGGATGGTTTCCCATGTTGCCCTCACCTTTTTATTTGTCTCAGGGACTCCATTGTTTTCCGGATTCTGAGTCCCCAGATTCGGTGTTAACAGCTCACTTCCGTGTGGTGTTCACGGAGCCATGCCGAGACGCCGCCAGCTTCTGTCTGCCTGGGACTCGCAGGTGCCCCCTGAGCTGATCAAAGGCTGGCCCGAAGCTCGGAAGAATGGCGGCGTGTGCGCCTTACAGCGCCGCTCGCCACTCGCCGCTGCAGGCAGGCCGGCCCTGTGTCTGCCAGCGACGCTGCCGAGGCCTGGACCACAGTGTCTAGGCCAGTGATGGCGAACCTATGACACGCGTGTCAGAGGTGACACGCGAACTCATTTTTTTGGTTGATTTTTCTTTGTTAAATGGCATTTAAATATATAAAATAAATATCAAAAATATAAATCTTTGTTTTACTATGGTTGCAAATATCAAACAATTTCTATATGTGACACAGCACCAGAGTTAAGTTAGGGTTTTTCAAAATGCTGACACGCCGAGCTCAAAAGGTTCGCCATCACTGGTCTAGGCTGTTGCTGCTCTGAAAGCACTGGTTTTAATGAGGAGCCCTGAGACCAAACAGCTGGTACTTCCTTTCATAAACTAGATTAGATGCTGCTTCCTGTTCTAAATTCCATCTCCAACACACACACACACACACACATACCCCATCTGGGAAGGGAGGAAATCGAGGCGGAGGCCAGCGTCTGTCACCCTGTCTGAAGTCAGGTCAGGGGCAGGTCTGGCCGAGAGGAAGAGAAACGTCGTACTAAGAGCCACTAGTCACAGTGGTTTGCAAGCAGCGGGTGAGGTTCCCAGGAACCGCGCCGTGTCCTGGGAAGAAGTTCAGGCCTCTGCACTGCATTCCCAGGCGTGGGCGTTAGCAGGATTCAGATTTATCTGCGGGAGAAGCAAAATCAGTGCTTGAGCTGAAAATCATACTTAATACACGCTAGCATGTGCTAATTTCAGTTTCAGTTTCTATTATGCATGTTCTTGGAGACATAAAATATCAAGACTTAGATTCAAGTCATGTTAAAAAACAAAAAAACTAGGGTTAGTAGAACCGAGAAGTTACCCTTGTAACTTTGGTGCTCGTGCTAACTCCTGTGACAACGTGAATTTACAGTATACTACCCAGAAACACCCTTTTCCATGTCAGCTTTCAGGAGTTCAGGTTCTATGGTTTTTGCTTTTTGTTGTTCCTATTCTTCTGCCTCCCTTTCGCTGTCCCCAAAGAGGAGCCGTTGTAGCCGAATGGAGGGAATGAGAGTGTAGTAAGGGGTTTTGTTATTCTGGTATAGTCTCACCTGCAGATACTTGCTTCTCATATGAGGACCATGAGAGGTGACTTTCAGGGGGAACGTGGCAGAAATGTTTTTATGTTGGAGGTTGTTTAAGATCCGCTAAGATCTGAGGAGCATTCGTGCTTTTTATTTGTAGGATATTCTCTAAGTAGGTTTAAGTACCACCTGCCCCTTTCTCAAGTTCCGACTGAATATTTTTATCTTATGAATGATTAGACTCTAACTTAAATATGTCCTTGTACACGTAGGAAAAGTAATACATGACAAAAGGACTACAAAGGCATGATTTTAAAGTTACTAGTTAAAGCAGGTGATATGCAGCTGTCCCTGTTTATAGACGAATTCAATATTTATAAATTGGGTGGCATTCAGAAGGAGCTAAGGATCTCATTGGTTAAGGTCATCTGGCTCGAATCCTTTGGTGATGTAAAGAATTGTGCTGTGTCTTGGCAGTTAGGGCACAAATATTACTGAGTCCGTTCAGGTTTATTGAAAGGATGAGAGAGCCTGCCAGGGACTGGGGAGTTCAGGAGGGCGACGCTCATTCACGGCTTAGCCGCTGCCTTGCTGGGGCAGCCGAGTGAGGACGGCATTCCGGGCTGGTCCCCAGATCCTCCAAGTGCTGGGAGATGAGCCAGAGCTGGGATAGCCCATGCTTCCAGACGTTTCCCAGATCGGACTCAGGTCTGAGGGAGCAAACACCTCGTTGGGGGCACCCTCCCGGTGCAGACGGATTCCAGCCCCAGTGGGAGCAGCGGCTCTCGCTGGCAGCTGTCCCTCCCGGTGAAGGGTTCTTGCTGCATGTTCGTTCGGGCCCCTGGAAACTCCTCTGTGCGTCCTGGATGCCCTGGGCAGGGGTTTTGCTGACATTGCTGGGGGCCAGCAGGCCCCGTCCTAGTGGGACGAACCCGCGGAGGCTGAGGCCGCATCCATGGGAGGGAGACACCTGCCCGGGCAGGAGGCTCACAGCCTGAGCTTGGGCTGGAACCGGTGGTGGAGGTCAGTCAGCTGTGAGGCTGGCTGCACTTCCCACGCCCTGGAAACTCCTCTGTGCGTCCTGGATGCCCTGGGCGGGGGTTTTGCTGACATTGCTGGGGGCCAGCAGGTCCCGTCCTAGTGGGACGAACTCGCGGAGGCTGAGGCCGCATCCATGGGAGGCACCTGCCGGCAGGAGGCTCACAGCCTGCGCTTGGGCTGGAACCGGTGGTGGAGGTCAGTGAGCTGTGAGGCTGGCTGCACTTCCCACACCCACCCTCAGGTGGCGGTAGAGGAAGTAGAAACAGCAATGCAATTTCTAGGCGATCACGGAAGGGACCAGAGGCCTGGGAAGGACATAACCTGACCAACAGTCCGAAGCCAGTTTTCAACCTTTGCCATCTCCCGGCACATAACCTAATGACTAACATTCCGTGGCACACAAACACAGAAACCAGGTGTGCGTTGCTGCATGCACACGGGACGGCTGTTGTGGTGGCCGTTGCTATTTCTCTACCTGACAGTCTGCGGGGAAGAGGCCGGTGCCCCTGGCTAGCAGTCAGGTGGGGCGTGTGTCACACACTCCGGCGGCACACGGCTGACAATGCTGATCTGACAGAAGGCCTGGCTCTCTCGGGAGACCATATGCCAGCACTACACCAGCTTGATTGTCACAGTCCCCGCCTCCTGCCTCATCCAGGCAGTCCGTGCCTTGAGGTCCACAGGAGCTCCCAGGAGCCAGGTGTGCGGCTTCTTGTGGCTGCGAGTTTCTCACTTCCTCGATGTGTAGGAATTCCCGTGCGCATTGATGAAAACGCATTCACCTTAGAGCAGTGGTTCTCAAGCTTGGCTGCACATTAGAATCACCTGAGAATCTTTTTAAAATCCTGATTTCTGGGCCTCATCCTCCAGAAATTCTGTTTCTTTGTTATGGGGTGGGGCCACAACATTAGTAACAAAGAAACAGAATTTCCGGAGGATGAGGCCCAGAAATCAGGATTTTAAAAAGATTCCCAGGTGATTCTAATGTGCAGCCAAGCTTGAGAACCACTGCCTTAGAGGGAGGCTAATGCGGGCAGCCAGAGGACACATGCAGTGTCGACACCTGGTCTGTGATGTCCCAGGTGTTGTATGAGTTCCACACCAGGTGCATCTCAAAAGCAGAGGCTACTCTGGAGAGTTCCTGGGGAGACGCAGTCTGCAACGTGCTTCTCAGCCGGGGTTTCTGTCGGTATCCAGTCCGGCGACCCACCTCCGCTGGCACTCTCCCCGCCCCCGTCTGGTTGAAGATGGGCTGACATGCAGAGGAAGTCCCTGTCCTGGGAGTGCGCTCGCACCCAGTACACACATGTGCCAAACACGAGGAAGCAGCGAGTGGGAAAAGTGGAGGCGCCTGAGGACATGAGGGTGGGTGTGGCTGGAGCAGCCCAGCGGGGGGAGGCGGGAGAGAAGGTCCGGGAAGGGGAGGTGGGTTTACTGTGGTCCCCTGGGAAGCCCGGGGAGGGTTTTCGTAGGTCAGTCGTGTGCTCTGATTGACGTTTTTGTGCAGATTAGGGAACAGGTTGTGGGGAAATCGTGGGGGGCAGTTCTGGAAGCAGGAGGCCAGCCAGCAGGCCTCGCGGGGTTCCAAGTGGAGAGGAGACCAGGGAAGCATGTACTCCGAAGTTCAAACAGCTCACAGCACCTGAGTGGCACCGTCTCGCTCTTACCGAGCTAGAAACATCAAATGATTTAGGAGACCGTCTTAGGACCAAATGGAAAAACCCGGCCCTCTGTGGGAAGATAGCCTTTGTTTGCCAAGCTCGGGCCCCAGAGAGGACCCCTGCTGGCCTCTCGCTGCAGGTGGCGGGATGTCCTGTGGGTCCCCTACGCGCCATCCTGTGAAGGGCTGACCCCGCTGATGTCCCTCAGCCCCGGTGTTCTGCACACAGTTGCCAGCCCCACCCCCTGACTTCTCTCTCATTACCTCCAACTTAATTCTTGGTTCTTCGCTCACATCGCCTCTCTCCTGGGAGTCCGCCCTCAGTCCTGTCTCTGTCTCGGGTGGAGGGAGTGCCTGTTCCCTGTGCTCGTAGCGTGTCCTCCAAATGTCCTAAAAGTCCTGCACTGGAACTGTTGGTCTGTCTCCTGCTGGGCTGCCTATCATTGCCAGGGAGAAGAATTTTTTGGTCATAGAGTATAAAAACAGCCACCCCATGTCCCTGTGAGTAAAAAAGAAAAAAAAAAAAAGGTAAGATTCTGGGCAATTAAATATTTAGGAAATATGTTTTCTTTTACACTTCTCAGTTCCAAGGTGCAGAGCTTTGAAGGAAATGGATTTAATTAAAAATTCGGAGTCAGACTGCTACTGCTACCATCAAAAAACCCAAATCGAGTGGAAATACATATGGTCAACTGTGCAGGTAAGAGGGTACCTTTAAATCTTATCTTACCGCAGGGAATTTGTTTATTTTTCTTTGATTTTGAGTCAAGCTCCTTAAAAAGGATCATGGCTTTATTTTTATTTTTTAAGATGAAAATAATATGTATTTTATTCATTTTTTAAAATGTGTCGTTATTGTTGACAGTATCCCAGATGCCCCCTGCTCGGCCCGTTGCTGTGGATGTGTTTGATGTTTATTTTGATGCTCACAGCGCCCCCGACTGGGCAGTGCGACCACGGTGTGCTTCCGCAGCAGGGCTGGTGGCACAGATGCAGGGACAGAATAGGTGGGGGTGGGTTTTGCAGGCGGGCGTGAAAGTAAAGGCGGTACCTGCAAGGGAGTGATTCCTCATGACGCGCCTTGGGATTCAGCTGGACAAGCAGGGGCTGAGCCCTTCGGGGTGAGGAGCAGGGTGGAGATGCCAGATGCATGGGGGGGTCCAAGGCTTGCCGGGTGCAGCGCCGACGGGCATGCTGGGAAGACAGGAGGTGGTCAGCCAGGCGGTGCATGGAATGCGGCCTGTGTGAGGGGCTTCCGTTCGGGGCTGACAGGGTCCAGGGTGTGGCCGTGGGAGTGATTCGTGGAGGTGGGTGGAGGACAAGACCATCAGAGGAGCTCAGAGAACTCCTGGGAGGCCAGCATATAGGGGTGCGGGGAGTGCACTGTGTCTGGTGAATCCCCGAGACGCGTGGCTGCAGGTGGCACTGGAGAGAGTGCAGCCGTGGGCCTGGGGCAAAGTCCACGAGGAGGGGGAGGCAGGCAGTGGGTGATACCACCCGATGCCCGAGGCTCGGAGCTGGTGGCCACGCCCCAGTCCCGGGCAGGGAGGAGAAACAGAGGGACAGACAAGGCAGCAGCCAGGCTGTCGTTCAATAATGCGTGGCTGTAGCTGGTGCTGTGCTGTGAGCCGTGGGCAGGCCCTGAGGCTGGGCTCTGCCCTCAGGAGGTGGTGGTGGGAGACGCCGGGGCTACGTCTGAGCTTATCCAGAGGGAGCACTTCTCAGTCACGGAGAAAATGGTAGAGATAACCCCGCTTCTTGTGGGTTTATAACAGTTGGCCACCTGTTCCTCTATCTCGTCTTTGCTTACGTCTCCGTTGGCCCCAAGAACACGCTAGAACAGTGGTTCTCAACCTCGGCTACACATGAGAATCACCTGGGAATCTTTTTAAAATCCTGATTTCTGGGCCTCATCCTCCGGAAATTCTGTTTCTTTGTTACAAATGTTGTGGCCCCACCCCATAACAAAGAAACAGAATTTCCGGAGGATGAGGCCCAGAAATCAGGATTTTAAAAAGATTCCCAGGTGATTCTAATGTACAGCCAAGGTTGAGAACCACTGAGCTAGTAGAAGAAGTTGGATCAACCACCACTCAGGGAACAAACACCCACTTTCCGGGTGGGGGGTGTGCCCGTGGCCTCCACATAGCACCGCGTGCATCTGCGTGGCCCTCACTCAGCCAGTTGGGGCTCTGCTCCTCTGCTTAGGGTTCTAGGACGCGTTCAAGAAGCTTTAACTCCTGTGCTTATGCAGCTGTGCATTCTTGTCGATAGGTTAGGATCACCAGCACAGACCTGCTCCGTGTTGCGTATATCACAGAAAGACACAACTGCCAGGACCCAGAAACCATCCTTTGTCTGATCAAGTGTGAGATCCACGCGTTCTGGACCCCGAGCGAGTCTCATGAAATATCCGTGAGCATCCGCCCACACGGGGAGACCGTGTGCTTCTCTGTGAAGCCGGCCGGGAGCCACACGGTGCACGTGACTCACAGGGGTGAGTCCTCTCTGGTTCACGGGGCTTCTCGGCCCGTCTTTCTGAGAGGCATGTCGGTAGATTGGCGTTTCCCTGTTCACTGCCCCCGCCTTGACACAAGCCTGTTCCCCGGGTGTCTCCTTTGCTCCAGTTGTGGACTTCGGGCTCGTCCTCCTGTTTGTGGCCGGCATCGTCCTCTTCCGCCTGGCGGAGCGCTTGAGTCAGTAAGTACCTGTGGCGCCCTTCTTAACCTGGGGACCGAAAGGGCGGGGACCGTGCTGGCGCCTGCAAAGGAGGCCCACCCCGGTTTGAGGGGAGCTCTGCTTCAGGTTTTGCAAACGACAGGCCTGAAGCTTAAGCTTGCAAAGCCTTTAAAGCCGGGAATGGTCGTTTGTGTGGCGATGACAGGTAAACATTGCACCATGCTTCCGGAGGCGGAACGTGGCATCGCCTGCTCATGGACATCAGCGTGTTCGCGTGTGAGCTCTGTTACTGTCCCCACCGTGTACATGGGGACGGAGATCTGCCGTCACCTGACTGGTTCCCCCGGGGCCGGGGCGGGGGCGGGTTTGCTGGTGCCAACACCTGGCCCTCTCTCAGAGGCCGCCTCGGATGCCCGAGGAGGGATTGCACAAACCTCTGATCAACCTGCCATTCTGGTATTTTGTTTCTGACAACTTCACTCGTGAGGAAGGAGTGTCCTTCCAATCGTTTTCACTGTTCAGTGCCCTGTCCTGCACACGGCTTATGCCTGAGCCTATCCTTGTGGCACAACCAAGTGTGAACACCCCTCACGGCCCATCAGTGTGCAACTGGCCGCTGCTGACGCAGCCCGAGGCGGGAAGCGTGACTGTGCGGAGCTGGGCTGCAGCAGAGGCTGATGCGGGAGGGTCTTTAGAAGCTGAGCCCGGACAGCGCTTTCTCGGGCGCCGCCGCGGCTCAGGCAGGTGCCCGCCCGCCCGCTGCCTGACAGCGGGGCCATAATTCTTGCCGGGTCCGATTCTGAGCAGAAGATTGCGCAGACGTAGTGTTTTGAGTCCATGGCAAGCTGTTCACCCTACATTTCAGGCAGAGATTCCGTTTTTTAAGAGCACCGGACGTAATCAAAGCCGCCGCCTGAGGTTTTCTTCTTCCGTCGTCAAGTTGAACGTGTTTTCCATGCGAACAGCGTGGCTGGGCATTCACACGCCTCCGTCTGCTTGTCGTGACAGGAGCCCCGCTTTCTATTACTCCCTGGGGACGGCGCTCGGCGTCCTGATGACACCGGTCTTCCTCCTGCTGCTGGCGAGAAGGTGCATCCGTAAGGTGGGTGAGCCGGGTGGGTGCCCGTGAGCGCAGCGTGCAGATCGGGGTCCTTGTAGGCAGGAAGCTTGGTCAGATCGATCCACACTGATTATGGTGACTCCCATTCAAGCTGTGTTTCTACGTTGCACAGACTGGCTTTAAAACGTACCTTTTTCTAGAGAGTCCCTGTTTATTTCATTGCCGTCTGTAGGTTTCCGTAGTACGTCTTGCTGATACTTTTCTGGAGACCCTGTCATTCTCTAGGTAACGTGTTCATTCTCAAGGGGATGTGTTTTCCTTGTGAGTGACAGGGATGATTCTATGCTAAAAGAGAGTCTCTCTCTGACCTCGGCCTCGCTGAGGACTCTCACGTGGCCGAGCTGTCCGGGCTGTGAATAGCAGCGTCGCTGCCTCTGCGGATGGCTGCGTCATCATCCGTTCCCCGGGACAGAACGAGGAGACGCAAATATTAGTTCACGGCGATAATGTTGCCGTCCCTCCGCTGAAAGGGTGCAGCCCAGCATCACCTGGAGATACATTGTTCCCTGCACAGCGCGGCTCCAGCGACAGTGGGCGTGCCTGCCCCCGGGCGCCCTGCCCAAGTGCAGGCTGCGGCTCAGGTCCTGTGCCCGCGAGTCTGCATCCCGGCAGCTCCCAGGGCGCCAGGGCTGCCGGGCCGGGGCCGCACCTGTAATCAGACCCGAGGGCCACGTTGACTGCAGCGCGTTTGTGTAGAGCAGTGTCTGGTACCGAGGGCTGTGTGCTTGCTTCTGCTGTTACGAGAGCGCCTGACCCGAACACTGTGTGTTTGTTTTCTCCACACGCAGTGCAGCACCTTTGGGGCTGTGATGGTTGCTTGTTGGTTTGCTTCAGTGTATGTGGTGTGCCAGTGGATGGAGCACCTGCCGTGGCTGTGGGGTGAGCACAGGATGCATGTCGTAGGTAGGTAACGTTTGAAGATCCGTTCTGTTATCGGGAAAGCTGCCAAGTGCCACCGGAGGCCTTCTCTTGGCCGATGTTCCCGGCATCTAGGTTTCCTTTGGAACGAAGCAGCGCTGTTTAAAACCGTATTTTATTTATTCCCGTAGTTGGCGATTTCAGTTCATTGTTCAATCTCATCTTATGCCCTTTCCCATATGACCTCCTTCTTCGTTGTCTATCCTCATGTTCAAAAGAGCAAAAACGATTTGCCCCTTTTGGCTACAGATGCTCTGACCACATCTAACTTGTGATGAAAAAGTTTCTGTAAAATGTGGCTCTTTCGATCTTTGTCTGGATGTATTCGGCACGAAAGGTGAGACGCCCTACATGTACGTGACGAATGAAAGCCCGACTTTCCAGAAACGGAGGCGTCGGGGACCCCCCTGTTCTCCTTGTTACCAAAACAACACCCGCTTTTTCTCCTGGTTTAATCGGGAGATGGTGGGGGATGAGAGAACTGGTTTCCTCCTAATGTCTGACCCCAGATTTCTCACACAAGTTTATGCCCCCAAATCAGAAGCAATACATGTTTTGTTTCATGTTAGGATTTTATGTTTTTAGTTCATGGTTCTTATGCTAAAGTGTTTTTTAAAGTAAATCACCCATATGATGGTATGGTCCCCTAAATACTTCACTAAGCACTTCTAAAAACCAAGAGCATTTTCCTCTATAGTCAAGTATCAAGTCTAAAAAGAAATAAAAATTCCGTAAAGCATCTATCACCCAGGCCACGCTTACGTTCCCGACACAGCCTCGGTGGTGGGTTCGTTAAGCTGCGCTGTAGTCGGGAATCACGCTTTGTACCCGTTCTGCCCCGTTCCCATCACAGGGTACACTGACGAGACCACGCTTTGGATTTCTCCGGTTCCCCCTCTGTGGTGTAAGTCAGCTGTGTTCCTCTCTCGCCCGCATGTCCTTTAGACGGGACCTTCGGCCTTGGGGCTCGCTCAGACGCAAACGCCACGCTCCCGGCGGCCCGCACCGGTGCCGCGTGCAGCTGGACCCG